CCAGGTGATTCCATGGGAAACTGACCCATCAAGTCAGCACACTAGATAGTTATTATATATGTAAAATGCTCACTGATATTCCAGCATCCAGCTATCACGTGTACCTATTACAACTGTCACATGCAATTTAATAGTCTTTGAGGTATCTCTGCTTGCAGAGTCACATCTTTCATAACTTATTTAAATAGATCAATCCAGCCTTTCTTTTGATGATACCTAAACATTACTTAGGTGCCTAACTTGCCCATGCAGGGTGGTTGGAACTAGATGATCCCTTCCAACTCAAACCATTCTATGATTCTGTGAAAAATCCCACAGGTTTGACAGTTCTGACTTAGTGTCTAGATCATGTATGGAGAATCTCCAGCTACTTGCCTATTAGTTTAAAAGACAGTGACACATTCTTACATATGCAACATACCTTCTTCTTTGTCCTTCTTTTCCCAGTGTCCACATTTGCTGTGGTCATGGCAACTCCATCTTGTTCAATGTCATTCCACTAGTTGGTTTCTTTGCTGTTTTCCCTCATAAGCTTCCTATGATCCCATTATTGTCTCTTCCAGTGGTAACTGTGATACTATATTCATAGAAAAAATACAGAAACGACTGCTGTAAAGAACAATGTGTGATCAGATGACCAAGTTTAACATGGTTTTAGTAACAAACCATGCCTAAATTAATAATTAGTTGTGTTATTCACCTCACATCTTAACTGTCAGTCAAATGCCACTAATTAGGGTTTTCCTTTCAAAATGAGATGCCCAGCTGATAAAGCAGTGTTGATATTGTCGGGCAGATCTGCAATCTCTTTTGTTCACTGCACATTCTGTAGACCTCTAACAAAGTCTCTACCACACACACCTTCCCACTTGCAGCATGGAATCCTACATTTTAATCTGAAATATTACACTGGTATTTTTCAGCACAGCATCAAACTGTTCTTCTGCTTTGAGATCATAGAACATATATAATGGGCAGACAAATTTTGTGCATCCATCCAAGTAGCAGCTTCAGTTTAGTTCATTTCACTGGCATGTTAATGAATTGCATGACTAGTCTCTGTGTATCAGTCCAGAGACATACTGATGCATTCAGCTACAGACATAGATCCAAAATTTTCAAAAGCATATATGTAATTTTTTTCTGGCAATGAAATAATACCCTGATTTTCCAGTCCTGCTGGACAGCTAACATTTTGAATTGCTTTTATGTTTTTGAAAACTTAATTGGTTTGGAAAAACACTTCACTTAGGATTCTCTTCTTCCTACAGAATTGTACCAAGGTATCTCTTGGATCAAACATCTATATTTATACATGCAAACATTCAGCCAGCCAATTAAGCACGTGACTAATTGAAAGCACAATGTGACTAAGTCATGCTGGATGTCTGACCCATTTAAAAGTTTAAGAGCTTCTGATTCTAACAACAGAAAAACATATTGCTGTGCCTCATTTTTTTCTTATGCAGGGTGAAGCAATAATAGACAAAATCATGTTTCAAAATAGAGGCTTTATTAACTGCTATTAGGTAAATGCTTCAGACGATGCTGCTAATAATACAGAAATGCAGAAAAACATTAATAAGCTGACTTATTGGTGCTCTAATTTGAAATAAAATCAAATGCAATAACAAAAGAAAATTGTATTTCTTTGATATGACGTATTTTTAATAATTTAGTTTCTAGGAATAAAACCACAAAACTAAGATAACCAGAATGCTAAATACATGTTTGGATACCTTACCACCTGAATAGTGCTGCATTTCTTATTCTATTATTCTTCTTTCAGTTATCTCCAGAAGTACATTGCATCTGTCTTTCCAGCAAGAAATATGAAACACATCTTGATGATGATGATCAGAAGTAATGTCTATGAAAATTAATAAATTATTGCAGAACATTAATATAAATGAACAATATTATCTTTTTTTTTTTTTTTTTGTAAAAATACTGCCAAATTTCTTTTACTCTAGGACTGGTGTATCCATTGACATTTATTACTCACAAACAGTATTGACATTTGAAAACATGTCTGCTTCAGAATCACTGAAGTGATTAATAAAAGAAGCAGAATGGAAGAAGTATATGTTGTTTGTAACATATGAACTCTCATTATTCTAACATGCTTTTCAATCTCTTAGATTGGTCTTTTTCTCTAGTGTTTTAATTCAAACCTTGCCCTACTAACTACATCAGAGGATGTCAGAAAACTTCAAACCCAGAGTTTTCCTGCATGCCTTTTTCTGGTTTTCTTTTACATGTGTTTTCCTAGAAGCCCACGTTTTCTCTCTGCTGAGCACTCTCTGTCTTGTGTTTCTCTTTTCTAATATTTTAGAATAGAAGTCATGGTGGGATGACCTACTCAAGAGTTGTAAAGAACATGAGAACATTTATGAATCTGATTAATCATAAGAACAAGGTAGGTACCAAGTCAGCCAGCTGAGATGGCTGCAGCATGGAAGCTTTCTTCTCATGTAACTTAATTAGCAAAGCAACAGACCTATTAACATTCTGCTTGACTCATTCTAGCTCATTCCCTTGGGTGTAAAAGACTGAGCTATGCATAAACTTTACATACAGCACAATTGTGTGTGAGAGTGAAACTGACCTTGTAGTTTATGTTTAAACTACTTTAAATACAGAAAACAAAACACAAATGCTAAGCATTATGACTTTTAATCTCTCAAAATCTGAACTGAGGGTGAAGTGTGGTTTGGGTTGTGCCTCAGAAACACACACAGCAACGTAGAGCCAGTCTCCCCAGGTAAATAGAGATGATTAAATTGTGATTGTTTGAAGTTTGTTTACTTAATGCATATTGAACAGGAGGCTTATGCAGGCAAATAAGATGCTGCAGGAAACAAATATCAAAATAGAAGGAAGGAAAAAGGAAATAAAGATACCCACAGCAAGGTACCTGTGAAATTCAAACTTGTATTCACCGTTTCCTTCACTGAAAAGCTACAAGATCATGGCAAGATGAGAGGAAAAAAAAAAATCATAGTTCTTTTACACTTAGCTTTGTATATGACCTTTCTTATTAAAAGCAGTTGCTTAAGTGCAAGCAGTAAAGCTAAAGTGCCAACGTTTTTGCAAGATGCTTGATAGTGGTGTTGGCACCTGCTCTCTCTTTGAACTTTTTTTGCTTATTTTTTTAGGCAATATTTAATCCCCTCTTGTTTTTTTAGGCATATTTAGAACTGCCTTTATAGACATGTATCTTTTCCTCTAGCATTAGACTTATACTAGCAGCGTCCTCAGGAAATGAAAAAGAAGCAGTTTATGCAAGTTACTCTTACTTTGAAGTAGATTTGTGACAATGAAGTTTATCTACAGACTTTTGTTGACAGAAGTGTTAAACTTTAAAGGAAAAGCAAACAGTCGCTCTTCATGAAAATGTCCACATTCCCCTCATTCTGCTGGTCAAGCAAACTGAAATATCAATGACATGATTAAAAAAATAAAAGGGGGTGTGTGCACTCCTAATATTAAGTCCATAGGATGTGTCAATCATTCTTTTCTTATGCAAAGACCATTGTGTTACAACCCAGTCATCTTAAAAAAATATAACCTGTGTGGAAGAACAGCACATAAGCCTGAATGAGCATCTGAAAAGATCATGAAATGTTCTCAGAGAAGGCTGATGGTGAGGCCTACAAGGAGTTTGCAGAATGGGAGCTAGCAGCTTGAAAGCAAAGTTTTCTGTGGTTTAGGCTTGTTGTGAAGCTTGGAGACTTTTTTTTTTTGGCTGACATTGTAGAGGGTTTCTTGCTCTGTACAAAGACTGTTTGGATCTTTGTGGATTTAATCCTGTTTAGCTTTACCAAGGATCATCTGAGTGCATTAGAAGTCTGGGACATGGAAGTGATCAGTGGTTGCACAGAAGATGCAGTAGTAGGTGTATAGTAGTAGATGATGTATATTTAGTATAAAAAATATTATAAATTGATATTTCTTGATTGTGATTTAAATTTCTTGCTCATCTTTATGATGTTGGCTAACCTGTTAAAAACAAAAAGATATGAGACCTGGAGACATGCAAGAAATGTCCCAAATAAGGCTCAAGCTAGAAAAAGGGAGTTTGCTCTTCTTACCACAGAGGAAAAGTGTTATTCTCTACGCAATGCAGATGTGAATTTGGGAGTTTTAGCACTCTAATACATAATAACAAATAATAGATAAAGAAATTGTGTGATTGAAGTAACAAGCTAGACTATTCTTTGTACCTGTTAAAAAAAATGAAGCCATAAACTTGCAGCTAAACATTTCCCCCATTTCATTCATTTCTGACTGGATAAGGGTAAACAGAGCTGCTTTGCTCCATTGTTGTAGTATCTATTCTGTAAAGAACCATACTGGGATTCTTATCAAGAATGATAGTGGTGGGAAACCAAACCCACACACATTTGAAACTTGCTGGCTCACTTGCTTTTATAAACTGTTACTCCTTCAAGCCCATTTGGGTAATTTTATCTTGTTCAGAGAAGTCTCCTATCTGCTAGGATTACCCCCAGTCACTGTCATTAGGGAAGAGCTAACAAGGGGAAAGATATATTTTAGTTTTCTAACCTTCATGTGCCATGAAGTGCAAGTCCACAGAATTATTGGTAGGTGGAGATCTTAATCTATGTTTCCAGTGCCCTGTGTCACACAACCTAAAGTAGATTATTCTCGTTGCTGAAAGGTTTTGCCTCGGAAATTGGAAAAATAATTGCCTGTCAACCACTTTTATCAGTTGTAAGTACATCCTTCAGGCACAAAGCCATGGGATGTGCCCCAGTATCATTCATGTTACAGGACTGGGCCATGGTGCTGAGCACTCAGCACATGCCAGTGCTTTAAGGAGCAGAACTACAGCTGCCTAACAGGACAGCTGTACTTACCTCATAATTTGTAAGAATAAACCCAGGGAGTTTTCTCATTAATTCAGGACTGAGCTTTCCTTAAGGTTACCAACCCAGGCCTCCAAAGAAACACCGTTTACAACCGGGTGCGTACGGATGACGAACAACGTCAGTAAGGGCCTCATTCTGAGGTACAGACACAAGGAGGAACATTTAACCGTACCCTTGGCCGCTCTGAATTTGCAGTTTGAATTTGCGGCTGCGCCTTTTTCACGCTGAAAACTCCCTCTCAGGAATAATCAGGATTCCTCTCAGGAATCGCAGTTTCCACAGCGCCCTCACCCTCTTGTCACTTCCGACGCCGGTCATTCCTCCCTCGTCAGCAGCTCGAGAGAAAGTTCTGACATCTCAAAAAAAAACCCCAAAACAAACAAACTGAAAACGGGAACCAAATAATTAAGCCGCTTACGCGCTCCCACAACTAATTACGCTGAAACCCGAGGAACCGCCTGAGGCGCCAAGCGACCGCGGGCACCGCCCCCCCCGCCA